ATTCGCAGCGCCATGATATGACTGCTTACTATGATCCCATTCGCTTGTATTTAAACGCATTGGTGGTTTGAATGATGTTCTTATTGGAGTATCTGGAGTAGTATAAACACAGTGTAAAAGTCTATGCGTCTGAACCTGTACTTATCTACTTACTGCGATCCCATTCACTGGTGTTCAAGCTGGTTAATGTATTGGAAGCAGAAGATTCTGAAGAAGTTTAAGGGTCATAAAGATATTGTGGAATGAAATAGGAGTGAAGTTCATACCTTTCTGAATTTCACATATATTTGTCTTTGAATGGCACGGATTTTCAGTTATCAACCGTCAGTTCAGACGGTTCTGGAAGTACAGGTGGTTATTATATACTCAATTCGTTTTAAAAGCGGCTATACTAACCGTTTGGTGGACTACATGTCGGCTCATTATCCGATTCTTCAGTATCATCGGCATTTGTTAAAACTTTTTCTTTAATAATGTTACTTCTGTCTAACGGATGGAGGCCTGTTTTCAGAAATCCTAATAAATAAAAACATATGGTAACGAAACAAATTAGACATATCAAGACATACCAAAACAATATTTGATTTCTTGATAACACCGTTTTCAAATAATTTAGCTAATAAACCGGGAAATTGATCTTTTGTAACAGCTTCTTTAATACTTCGACGATTTGATAAAATTTGTCTCCATTTATCTTTAATTGGTTTAAATACGACAACATCCAACGGTTGGAGAACGTGTGTTGTGTGAGGTGGTAAACTAATACAAACTATCTGTTCTTGTATTGCTAATTCAAGTAATCGAACACTTTTGTGGGAACCGTGCCCATCCCATAATAATAAAATTGGTCTTGGAATATCCTTGACATTCGGTAAAAATACCTCGGCGAACCATTGATAAAAATTATCTTCTTCCATCCATCCATTAGTTGATACATTATAAGCAGCGCCTATAGAGTCAAAAATATGCATAAAAACCATGTGAGTAAAACTGTGTCTGATTTTACCTGGTGGACCATTCAAACACCAGTTAGAAAAAAATCTTTTTCCTTTGTAAACAACGGTAATAATTGACCACTAGCACTACAACAAAAAAGAGTTGTAATATGCGTTTTACCTGTACCGAACTGCTTTTGATACGTATACTTAATGGTTTTGCGCATAATAACTTTTTTGTTGGCACGCTTATCCGAGAAACCTGTTTCATCGCAATTGAAAATTTGAGATGGTTTGTCAAATAAATGATGTTTCTTGAAAACAGATTCTGAATATGAAACATGAAATGAGATGTAATGGTAATATGGACACAAGAATTATAATTTACCTAATAAATCAAACCATTTTTCAATAAAACTAGGAGATACATCAGCCCGCTGCTTTTCTAATGGTTGAACGGATTTTAATTTTAAATCTGGATGACGCTTAATGAAACTATACCACCATTCCCGAGTAGGAATCCCATTAACGAACATGTCTGACTTTTCCAATTCTCTAGCATAAACACCCGTTAACTGAAGAAAGTCGTCTACATTTAATGGTTCTCCCATTTCCTGTGAATAATACAACAGAAAATTCAGTTGACAAGGTAGTCATTATCATTTAAATAAAATCTTCTTACCTGGAAAACAATCGAAGCATTTACTAAATGCTCTTCTTCATCTTTTGTGAATACACATGGACGACCTAACCCACTATGATATAAACTCTCTCCCGTATGACGCTGTAGTGTTGTACGAGGTATTTGAAAATCACGCGATGCTTGATTAATGGATGATCCATCTGAGATACTTTTTAACGCTAATTGTAAATCTTCTTGTGAATATTGTTGCTTATTATTACGTTTAATGTAAGTTCGTGGCATTTTAGAGGTTAAGAAATAAGGTGAGAACTTACTGTCAGTACAGAACTTATACAGGCACAGAAACATTATGCGATACGAAAAAATAAACTGCGTTTTATTGTAATCACTTAATAATCCAAAAATATGATACAGCATGTTTTTGTTTTAAAATCACTGATTATTGTATTATCTGCGACAGCTCTATAACAGATATCGCATTTTGCGCCACGCTAGACACTTACCTTCATTAAATTTCCAGGAGATAAAAAACTAAACATATACAGGTATGAAAATAGTTTTTAGATGAGTTTTTGTAAGCGTTTGGATATTTCTTTATAAACATCTGACTCCAATTTTGCTATTATCTTTCTTAATTTTCACCGAATTTCATATATCTTTTTTTTGTTCAACTCATAAGAGTACAGTCCATAACATATACAGAAATTTTTCTATAAATTACTCATAATTAATGAGCATATTTAATAATACTCGGCATATTCGTTACCACAAAATATTAAAAATTACATCAAAATGTTTAAGATCATAGAACCTGCTGATCTTGAGCTATTGAGATGTAATTTTCGCACATGTTGTAGGTAATGAAGAGAAGACGAGCTTCAAACTGGTGTAATTTCTATCTGATTAGGACTTATCGTTAATTAGCAGTGGTTTGGCTCAGGAAACTCCATGTATTTGAATGGACCGGCCCGAATTACCCCAGGGGGTTTGGAGGTCCCTGTTTCCTTTTGAATACTGCTCGAAAACGGACAGGGATTTTCAGCAGATTTTTACATCAACCGATAGATAAATGTTGGTGGTACCTTTATATGCAATAGCACGCTTATCCGATCAAAAACGCCTTAGGGATACACTAAACACTGAGAAACTTCGTGAAAGTGGCCAGAATTACCCCATATGACTCTATCTCGCCTTTCCGCATAGAATATTATTAGTTCTTATTAAATTACGGTCCTGATTTGATGTATTACAAGAACTAACCATTTGCAATTGTAGCAAAATTACAACGAAACGACAAAACTTACGGGAGAACATTTTTCTACGGCTTGTCCTGAGCCTGCACGCCCGAGCCAAAGCCCGTCAAGTTAGTTTGTGTCCCAAGTGCGACTTCACCACGCGACGAAAACTGATTTCACAGCGAAAAATGCTAACAACATCGGAATAAGTAAGTATACCCCCTCACAGACAAGAAGCTGTCCTCTTAGAAACTTTCCTCTTAATTGTTTTTAGAAGACACCTGATAAACAATAGCTCACAGTTCTGACTTGGTTATTTTGCAAAGGTGCTGTTGCTGTACGGGTATTTTGTAGAGATTCGCTCTCAGTGATGAGAAAACCTTTGAAAATGAGGAGAAAATCCAAATAACATCTGTGTAAAATATCTGCGAAAGTTCCGTTCTATAATACGCGTACCCTAACAGCTCCTAAATATATATATATTTGAGCAGCTTATTCTCAATTTTGTTTTTCGAAACTATAATCAAAGAAGTTAGCCGTTTCAAACATTTTGTTTTGGATAAACCCTTTTGTCCAAAATGCTTGACCAGGCGTACAAAACATTCGATAACAAAATTTATAGAAAAACAACAACAAAAATGTACAAAACATAACAAAGTTGGCGTCTACTTCCACAATAATTTTCTATTAACTTCAGTGAAATGAGTTGTTTGTTTTCTTAAACTGCATTTTATTGAATAAATGAATATACAATATTTTTTCTGTTTAACAAAAGCTAAATACTCCACATCATTCGTATCACTATCAAAGTCAAACGAACTTCCAATGATGATCACAAACTTTTGGCACGGATACTTTCTCGTTAACTCTCCCTGCAAGTGCCAAATTACATCACCATATGAGCTAATTGTTAATGTTGGAAATGTTTGACTTGTTGAATATGCAATGTTCACTAGTCGTTCCATTTTCTGATCAAATTCGCCGTTCGTTGAGGAAATGGCCACTTCAGCTCGTTGACAGACAGCCAGTTTTCGACGTTTATTTCTCAACTTCTTTGCACTTTTTTTCAGACCTCAAAAAAAACGTTTTCTTAAGACAATGATTTATATCATGCTAATAAATACTAATTAATATCACTCTGGTACATTACACTTTTGTTTGCAAATTAACGAATTATGGAAAACGGTAACGTAATACGCCATTCGATAGAAATTTCCAAGCGCTACAAACTCCTGCATTTATCGTTTCTAGATGTTACCGATAAGCAGTTATTTATACTCAGTTTTAGGCAAACGGGGTTTCTGCTATGGATTTCTCAACAGAGCGGCCATGGATGTTTTTTGAGTAGCTCGAGAACGAAAACAGATAGAAAGTCTTCTATTTATACCATATCAGTTCACACGCACTCACTAATGTATCTTTTGGGAATATCTTCTGTCCAGCTTCTTCAAGATTTAAAACGTTTGTTCGAGAATCTAAACTGCTGTTGTGGCTCTGGAATTAACTACGTGAGAACAAATTTTAGGTTTTATCGAACGAAAAATCTCTGACGTCTTACAGTAAAGACTTTTTGCCGATCTCCAAAAAAGGGAAAAGAAAAGTATCTATTCAGA